TTAGTATATTTCTTCTTTTTACAAAATTTTATTAACAAAATATACAAAATTTACAAAATTTTAAAAAGTTGTTCTAAATGATTTTATTCTACTATATTCAATATATTTAATGGGTATCCGTCAGGCGATCGTACTAAATTTAGTACACAGCAAAAAAATAAATTTGAAATAATTATAAGTTTATTCTTAATCAAAATCCATTAAAATATATTTAAAGTTTGGTTTTATTTATATGTAAAATTTTAACAACAATTGTAAATAAAAATTTTACAAAAACTAATCACGAATTATCATCTTTGCGCAAAAATTTTATTGTACTAAATTTAGTACAACAAAAAAAAATTATTATTTTAAAACTAGCATAACAAGATAATATAAAAAAAAAAATTTAAAATGCCTAAAATCTATTCTTTGCTTTGATATATTCAAAATATTAGATGACGATCACTAAAGCAATTAATGCACACTCCTTTTGAAGTGTTACAAACACAGTGATACCTTGTTCTTGTACCACAATACATACAACGAAGCTGTGGATAAATTGTGATATTTCGGGTTTTTTTTCTTTTAGGAATGGGTAATATCTTGTGTAGTGGCCCAGTTGGTTCTTTTAAGCTTGTTTTTCGTGTTGAATTTCTTATATCAAGATAATCCATATTAAGAATTTCAAAAGCCAATTGCCGTCTAAAGTCGAAATGTGAAGTGTCATGTGCTCCTCTACGCCATTTTTTAAATGATATAAATGCATTGGCTTCGGCGATTCTAAGTAAAAAGGCAAGTACACGTATCTCCCAATCTGATCCACGCATTACATCGTGAAAAGAGGTCATATTGTCACGAATCTATAGTAATAGTTAAATATGTTATATATATAGCAAAAAATGAATTAATTATATTCGAATAGCTAAAGTATTTAACGTAAGCAAAAATTTATTAAGAAAGTATAATTGAGTATTAGCTATATAAATAGCCGATACTTAATTATACTTTTCCAATAAATTTTTTGCTTACATTTAATAATTCCTAATATATCCATTGGATCAGATATCAATATTATCATATAATTTAAAATCAAAAAATCAAAATAAATTTACAATTAAGTTCAAATTAAGGTAAATATATTTAATTTGTAATACTTAAAATAAACGAGTTAGTCATATAGTGTTGTTTGACAAACAAAAATGCAAGCAAATATTAAAACCCATTAATAAATAAATAAAAAAAAAAAAAAAAATACCTGATTGTTAATATCTACTGCACCTTTTGAAGCGGAGTATTCAGAAAAAATCTTCGGTCGTGTAAATTTAACCAACGATGAATTATTACGTTCTTTAACAACACGTTCAACTTCATCATCAGCTGCTGTAGTGGATGCTGTTGCGATGATGCATTGTGGTTTTCGATCTTTTAAAGAAGCCGCAATTAAATGTGTATTATCAACAATTGCAATCTTTGAACAATACGATCCATATGTATTTCCAAGGTTTTGAACCATATCATTAGGATAGTTTAGAGGCCAGCCACGCCTTTTTTTAACATGAAATATGCCGTATAATCCATTTTGCTTTAAAAGCAAACAAAGCTTTGGCGATCCAAACCAACTATCACCAACTATAGTTCGCCCACTACAAAACCATGGACGTGCTAATCGGAGTACATATGCAGCAGTACTACCATACTCTGATGCGAACTGTTTTTTTTTTTCAATTTCCTTGTCTTCACAAGGTTCTAGCTGGACAACAATATTTGTAGAACCATCAGCCATTACTTTCCACTCTTGTCCAATGGGATGTGGTTTTCGTGGTATTTTGCGAAGACCTGGGATCTTATTTTTTGTACCTAACCATGAATTCATAGATTCATCGACACATAAGGTACTTCCAGGTAATACAGCATCAATCAAATTGCTATTAAAAACATTAATGAAACTTCGAACAGGATATAAAGGATCAGTAAGATTCGGGTTATCTAATTCATCCAGTGCCATTAAAGTATGACAAGATACTATTTGTTCAAATCGTGTACGGCTCATCCAGCGTTGAAAATTAAATGGTGCTAAAGGCTGCGTATGTTCTTGATCTGCTCTCCAGTAAAAACGACGATCAGCAACAGGAAAAACGGACATTAGTACCCACAAACCCAGCCATCTCATATATTCATTAATATTTAAATATACCCAATTTGAAGTATCTCTTCCACGTATATTAATAGAATTAATTACGGACTGTTCAATATAATCAAGAGGAAGATATCGGCGAAATAATTCATATGGTGAAGCTAAACTAATTGATGAAATATTGATTTTGCATTCATAGTTATATGCCAAATTAACTGCACGTTGATCAATAGTTACTGGTTGCTCTTGCCAGTTTATTGTAGTACTAAGGTCAATTACTTCTTCATTATTTTCACCTTCTTCCTCATCTAAACTACTTTCACTATCGTCAGAAAACTCCTCATGAGTTGGTGATAATTCTGTAACTGCTAGTTCTTCTTGGTTTAAAATAGCTCGTTTCTCATATCGTAAGTTACCTGCAAGAATATCCACGGTCACGTTTTCAAATTCTTCAAAACTTACTTGATATTTTCGGCGTTTTCTTGAAGTTAGCTCACTAATAATTGTTCCATAAAGGCGTAGGTTTTTCCAATTTCTTCCGCGTTGCTGTAGATGTTGTTGCTGTATTATCTCTTTTGGTAAGATTGATGCTTTGCAGCTAACCCGTCCTCCGATAGTTAACTTTTTCGATATTCTTGGCATAGTGTATCGTTACGATTGGTAATATTGTAAGTACACTTACTAAAAAAAAAAAAAGTTGCATTTAAATTAACTTTTGTGCTACATTTAAAACTTTATCGAACCCAAACCCATAAATCATACCTACGATTTCCTTTTTTTAACCTTTTAGGTATACCGATTTAAATTACAATTTTTAATTTATTAGTCATTAAATATAGATTACACGATAACAATCCATATTTTGACCAGTTATAACCGGTTAAAGTTAGTTTTTATAAGTGGAATTTCTCATAAAGCACTATTGAGGCTTGATCGACAAAGCTGATTAAACTCTAATAATTCTTCCCGAATAAAGCCTGTTTGTGCCTAATTGATAAAAATATACTAATCATTATAAATTACCAAAATGAATTTTATATATTTATCTATATATTGTAAAAATTTTATGTAACGGCGAACAATATTTTTTATTTTATTCTAGTATTTAAATTGTACTAAATTTAGTACAATGTACTAAATTTAGTACAGCAAACGGATACCCATTAAGTTCAAAATTTGAAAATAAGTTAATATGTAGGTTTAAAAGGATCTTTAGCTTAAAGTTTATAGTAAATTTATCTCTTAATTGGTAAAAATTTGCAGACAAATTTGGCTGCATGCCACCACCTTATTAAAAGACATACCCATTGTATTTAATAAGGAAAATGATGTAAGTAGGCAGGTGGATAAGCCTATTTACCCAGAAGAGGTAGACAAACACAGTTCTCTAACGCATAACCTGAGTACTGCTACTTCTTGCGGAACCGTGAGAGCTGGGTA